GAAGCGAGAGTTAGCGGGCACCTGCCCCGCGCTCGCCCATTGGCCGCCGCTCACCTGCCCCAAGGTGGGGGGCGGGGCGGGGCGGGGCGAGGGACGGCGGGTGGGGAAACGAGCCAGCAGTCGGAGGCAAAAGCCGGACTGGAGCTTGTGCGAGGCGCTCTAGGCCTCCTTCCCATCTCACGTCTTCTCGTGTCTCGGCTCTTCAGCTGAGTCTGGCGGCCGCCGCAACCGTCTCAACACACGCGTGAGCCGAAGGAGGCGTACGAGGGGCCTGGGGCTTGGGGGAAACTCCAACCCCACTTTTCAGTGTGTAAATCAGTTGAACCCTCTCCAATTCGTCTTGGGATGTCGTTTCAGTTTTCAGATAACTGGGATCCGAGTGGAAAGTAGGTGTTTGGGGGTGCAACAAATAGGTTCTCCCGATAACCAGCTCCCTACTCCCCTGGCCTCGAAGACCCTCTCGATCACCCACCACCGGTCACCTGGGTCACGGCCTGAAGCCTCGGCCTTGTTCCTGAGGTTTCGCTTTTTCTGGGTGTTACTGGGAACAGCTCCGGAAAGGGACGCTCAATTCTTTTCACAAGGGGGCCAGGCCGCGGACAGTGCGAGAGGAGCTGTCGGAGCAATCACCCTGCAGTCCTCAAGCTGCAGGTCGCAGGGCTCGGAAGCATCTCCTTGGCCCAGTCAGGGGCACCGCAGCCGGCTCGCACCGGGACGGCTGGCCTCGGCTCAGGAAGATCTGCTTTCCTCGGCTTCCGTCTTCTCTGGTCGTGGAGCAGGTGGGTCAGACCAGGCCGAGGCCTTGGGAACACTGTCTTGAATTGGAGGTGGCCGAGCAGCCTAAGCCCATCCCCAAGAATACACACCGGCCGTCCTGGGAACGTAGCGGCGGCCTCGCCTACCCCGACCACCTTCCACTCACACCGCCCGCAGAGCAGCGGGCGACTCTGCTCCAGCCAGTTTCCATTACGTGCACCAATTCCCTGGGGGTGAGAGGGCAGTTGGGAAGGAGAACCAACACTCTGCAAACTTTTTCACCCGGGCTTCCAGGCCTCAGGAAAACACCGCATTCAGGCCTAGGAGGGCGCTAGGCGGTGGTGGGGAGGCCGGGACACGGACCTTGCCAGTGCACTGAGAGAAGGGGACC